AACATGCTTCATTTCACAGTCCGGTGTACAACAATATGTAAACTGTCCAGTGTCAGTCTTTAGACGCATCAATAGAGGAAGCTTAGACTGGTTGTAAAAGGAAATTCACATGTTTCTCATCAGTACATATTGGGGGAAATGAGATTATAGTTAAAAATGCAAATTATGTAATTTTTTACTACTAGAGGTATCTTAATCAAAATAATGGGAAAAGCTTGAGTTTGTGGGGAAGCAGCATGGGATGATTGCAGTTTTAGCCCTGAGCTGATTTTGGTTGGGATACCTTCAGTGTGGATGGTTAAGGAGGTTTTTACCCCCTCCTCTCATTAAAAGCTGCAAAAACACTGAACCAAGCAGTTTCATGTAAAGAATCGTTGTTTTTCCCCGGACGCTCTACTGCTGCCGCTGAAGTTTGCTCAGCTTGTTTTTCTCGGATAATTTAAGAGTCAGACGTTAGAGGTTTTTACCCGGAGCCGAAATTATCCACTGAGGTCTCCTCCTCTCCGAAAACAACGGAACTGATGATTAAAACAGTTAGAAAGGCTAATTAAAACAGTTTCAAGTAAAACATCTGTGTTTTCTTATTGCAGTTTGGTGGGCACAGGGTAAGCTAAATGCTAATGCTAGAACAGCTTGTTTCTCTGATAACTTAAGATGCAGAAGTTCAACAGGTTTCTACCCAGAGTATAATAATAATAATATAATTAAACACAGAGGTCTGCTCCTCTCCTCTGGTATCAAGTGGTAAAAACAGTGAATAAAGCACTTTCATGTTCAAATCGGAGTCTCTCCCTGCTTGCTATTCGGCTTCCGCTAACAGCTTGTATATGACTGAAATCTTGAAAACATTTATAAAAGTCATTTTCCGACAGCTATTGGCAGACAATGCATGCTCAATGGAGATAGGAAACCATTGCAGGACACCAGCTGACTGTTGACGTTACCTTTATTTAAATTACAGATTGCCGAAAACATTTGCGATTAAGATAGTACACAACTTCACAAAATATAGGTTGTATTTTAAGAACTTGAATGCGGTTTAGCCTAAAATGAAATGTTTAAGAATTGAAAGATTTGACTGTGTTGTGTTAGGGTTAGGGTTAGGTTTGAGTTTAGGGTTAATTGTTCAATTAAATAAAAATACTCTTCAAGACAAGTTGTCAGTGCATAGATAGGTACTTGTTTTATTATAAGCTTGGGCTTTAATTCTGTTGCATTATATAACTTATTACTGAGTATATCTGCCGCTGTGTGTGGGCAACAAAGTGAAAAGCCTTAATTGCTCTGGGACCGACACTTTACTTTCAAAAACTGGAAAGCCAGGAACATCTCCCTCTCAGTTCCTCTCTCTGAAAAGCGGTGTTGAAACGTGTTTGTCATTGGCTCAGATCAGGAGGCAGGAGATGAAATGTGTTTCAGAAGAGATTGTCGTCGCTTGCCCTTTTGGTGAGGCTGTTGGTGATGATGCTGCATGGCCGTTCACCCTCATTACACTTCAAGGAAAGCTTCAGATGGACTTGATGATAAATGGATGGATGGATATTGACTGAGATTTGGGGAAGCAAACTGTGATGGAAATGGGTGCCATGGTGGCTTAAAAAGGTCAACAATCCAATGCAGACACTGACTTGAGCAAAGGTGAAGGAGAGACAGCAGATGTAGTGTTTTCCTTTTTGCTAAGTTTGTTTGTTTAAGTTTGTCAAGTGTTTGTTAGCCAATGTATTTCTTAGGAGAAAATGTAGTTCCCGAGAAAAAGCTGCAGGGGAAAAAAAGAGAAGGATTGTGAACTCCCCAAATCCTGTAAGACTACAAATGTGTTTACAATGTGTGTACATGCCAGTGTTTGTGAACAGACACGTTTCAAACACTAATAATAATAATATTAAGTTGAACCTAATATATATGTTTTAAACGTAATATGATTGCTTTCAACCAACCTAATATGTGAAATTTGTTGACATAATACGTTTAATTAAAGTCAACGTTCAGTTTTTTCAGTGTAAGTACATGCACTCTGAATGTGAAGGTTTTCCTATGTGGCTTCATTGGCATTGAAGTGGGACTGGAACAGGGGATTGAGCTCCTGGAAAACGAAATGTGATTCCAACCCGAGATCATTTGAGAGGAACGTCAGTGGAAATGACGTCACGTCCAGAAATTGGATACACATGGGGGGATGTGTCCAACAGATAGTTTGTTTGAGGCCAGGAAATGTGAAAAATGGTTAAAGGTATTACTATTATCTTTTTGTATTGTTGTTATATAATTACTACAACTATCTCGGAGTTCAGTTGAGTCTATTAATGCTTCTTGTTATGTCAATAAGTCTAAAGAAATGCAGTATTCATGGCTGCATGAAACTTGTTCTCCTGACTAGACTGTATTTAAAATGTAAGCTAATAGAGCTCTCACAGTGTGTACTGCAACATAACATACAGAATTTCAGTCTAAAAGTAAAGAAATCAACCAGTTTTGAATCATTATGGAAACAAGCTACAGCAAACATATATTTAAGGTGATAATATTACACTCAGTATAATTACCACATCAATGCTTTTAGTTTGAGCTGATAGAGAACACTTTAGGAGCCGGTGGTTTACATTTCTGTCCATTTTGCTGTTTTACATCTCCAACACAAACGAATCCTTGGCTCATATTGAAAGTAAAATGTATTTTCATTAAATCCTGTCTTAATTGAAAGGATACCGATTCAAGGATTAGAGCTAGAACATTAAAATGCCATTTTTCAGCACTTGGCCAGTGGGTGGATCATTACAAAACTGAGCTATTGCTCCTTCAGGTCAAAAGTCACTTTTGGAGAGCAGTGCGTCGATATAACAGTGAGTGCTCAAGTGTTGCTGTAATACCACAGGATACTTTTTACACCATCTGTAAAATAGCAGCGCTGATACTGAAAGGTGTGTGTGTGTGTGTGTGTGTGTGTGTGTGTGTGTGTGTGTGTGTGTGTGTGTGTGTGTGTGTGTGTGTGTGTGTGTGTGTGTGTGTGTGTGTGTGTGTGTGTGTGTGTGTGTGTGTGTGTGTGTGTGTGTGTGTGTGTGTGTGTTATGCAGGCCGGTGACAGCACCACCAGTCCAGGCAGAGATAAGAGCAGGGAGTGGTGATAACGTTTGTTCAGGCCATGTGAGACTTTAAAATGAAACCACAGCAGAGTGTAGCAGCGTAAATCCATCCAAATCCATCTAACTAAGGATTTAACGTCTCAAAAAACGGTACATTCTCATGTTCCATTTACATTTTTTGGAGTAAATATACTTTGGAATGGTGTTGTCCCATCCAGTCGAGTCCAATACGCATTTGGTTCAATTACGCACGGACAGACCCTCTGCTGCTTCCGCATATGAATGTGCCATTACTTCACAATTTCAAACTTTCACTTTATCTATCCTGAGAAAAAAACAACTCTTTAGATTCAGGATCCTGATCCAGGATCTCATGTGAATCCCCCTCTCTCCCTCTTCCACTCAAAACTTGGCTCATCAGCTGTTCTGGGGCCCTGGAGGCGGCCTCCTCCCTTTGTCTCGGCCTATGGGCTAGCTGGCTAAGCTAGTCGGCCCCTGCATCACTTTCTGGGTAACTTTAGACTAGTGCACTCCTGCTCCGGAGCGCAAAGTTCCGACTGACCCGCGGGGCTAAAGGGGGGACGCAGGGAAGGAAACCCCGGTCGGTGCTGTACATGGAGATGGACGGCAGCCAGAGCTGTGCGTGAGTGCGTGCGCGGAAACATTAAGTAACTTTATAGTAGTAGGAGTAGTGGAGGTGCTGATGGTGGTGGTGGTAGGCTGGTACGGGGAGGTCGGGGGATCCTTGCTTTTGATTTATGTGTTTGGGGGAAGCTGTCAGGAGCAGAAACAGAAGCAGGAGATTTTATTCCAGCACTTTAATAACATTTATCAGCAGCTATGCAACAACACGGACAGCGCTTCTCATCCTGCGGTCTTGGATGCTATTATACAATTATTCAATTAACCTTTAAAGGATGTTTACCACCGCGGATGGATGTGGGTCCGGCCCGGGAAGCGTTCTCCGGCTCTGGGTGCTCTAAGGATATACCCGGGCTGGAGCTCTTCATGGTGTCCGGGTTTTCTCTCTGAATCATGCTGGAGTTATTTATGGGCCCCATGGATGCAGAGCCGCTGGGAAACAGCTGTTCTCCTCATGGGCCGCTTCTCATTTTCGCTTGCTCGTGCGGCCGTTTGGCAACATTTGGGATTTTTTTGCTCATTTGTGATTGTTATGGATTTGTTCAGTAGTCAATTGGAGAGTTTATGGGTGTCACACTAGGCTTTGGATTATATTTATTGTGCTTTTTGAACTTCAAAATAATCCGAATAATATATATTTGTTCGATTGTAGTAATCATTTCCACTCTTTGTGCTCGGCGTATTAATGCACCACTTTATGTTAACCATTCCACCACAAAGTGCATCCATTAAGTTATTAATATAAAAATAATTAAGTAAGCATGGAGCCTATTTCATATTTTAAACTTTTATATTATTTTTTAGAACTATCAAACAATATATACTTATTTCTACATGAGGTGATTCCACAACATTTCATTTTTAGATTCTTTCGATTCTTTCTGCCTCTATAGCCTACTTTCTGACTTTTATCCGGATTACATTTTTCCTTGCTAGTCTAATTGTTTTCCATCAGCAGGCAGAGCAGATACACACGGTTTTTAAAACGAAGGGGAAACACGGTGAATATGAAAGGATGTAATATGATAAGCAGAATCAATAACATGTCAGATCACTCCACCCAGCCCTTATTCCTCTCTCTGCTCTTATTGCTTTTATTCCGGGAAATCACCAGGAATAATTTAGGTCAGAAATACCTGTCAGCAGTTGACCGTTCGATTAGACTACAACAGATTCTGTGCTCTGTATCAGATGTTAGCAAGACCTTCTGATTGCATCTCTCTATGTGTTTTATCTAACCTTTTTTCCCCTCCCTTCCCCTTTCCCCTTTCCCTGCAGTTCTTAGGAGCTTTCTGGAAGCCGTTTCCTGCCATCACAATATCAGAAAATAAGAGGAAATCTTTCGGTGAGTGCTACTTTGTTTTTTGAATGTTTTTTTTTGTGGTGATGCTATAGCATATAGGAAGGAATATGAGGAAGATGTTTTCGGCATGTGAATCTGCAGTAACCGTTATTAGACTTTGGAGGATGTGAATTTCGATCACAATCAGTTATGCAGAATTATTTAAGAGCATATTATTAAATCTGACCAAAGTACAGCACATCTTAAAATGGGGACGGTGATTTTTTAGGGTTTTTAAAGACTGTCCGCACCGTAGCCGTAGGTCTTGTGCGCGCAGTCTTTTGTATGATGGTGCCATGTTTGTCCAACACTAGATATTATTATTTTTCAGTCATAATTATCGTTAATATTCTACTTTTACATTTTGATGCAAGATATTATAAATCCACTGATTACAGAAAAACTAACTAAAGCAGATAATGAGTGTATACATGTTGGTGGTTCTGTCCCATATAGGCGATTATATCATTTGTTTCACAGCCTGAATTTGTAGAGATGGGAGATGAATGCATGGGACATGTGTATGTGTTTGATTGATGAAAAATCATGTCATGACACGTGCTAATGTAATATGATCCAGAGGTGTGTGATGACTTCATCATTTGATGCGACAGTTATTAAAACAGCGCTTATGACCCCCCACCACTACACCGGTATTATCAACCTAGTCGCAGTTAAAGAAAAGTGATTTTCTTTCAGAGCACACAAACCTCACAAATACTGATTCAACCATCAGAAGTATGAAATATTGTAAATCAAATCGAATTTTATTTATATAGCCCAATATCCCCACAACACATTTGTCTCGTGTTTTCTGTTGTTTTTGTATAGATCAACAAACATGAATGACAGTAAAAAGTTATAAAATAGGCCTACTAATAAATGAAGGAAAAAAACACAATTGAAATAGACAATCCTATTGACACAATGGTAATGCTAAATTAAAATAAAATAAAATATAGGACCCAGGAGTATGTTCAAGGTAAGCCTGAGAAAGCACTTTTTTTGTTTGTTTAAAAAAAAAAAAAAAGTCTTTAGCCTATCTGTAATGTTAATTTGTCTGCCTCACGAACATAACATGCTTTAACCATTGACATTTAAAGCAACACGTTTCCGCACAGTGCGTAAAATAGGCTTTTAAAAAAAAATAAAAGTCCCGTATGAGGAAATTCCTTTGTGTCATCTTCCGTGGCCTAAATGCCTGATGTCCTGGGGGAAAAAGAAAAAAAATGGAAAGAGGATTTCCATTCCAGAGAGTTTCAGTTGTGAAACCCAATACCCGTGACTCAATCCGAAACACGGAGCCGTGTATCATGCCTTCCAAGGAAAATAAAGCAGAAGCTCCGGCGTGATTTTACAAGTCAACATGTAATCCTCTCTGCTGATTTCACCACGTCTCTTCACACACTGTTGCTCAGTAGGAGGAGAAAAAAAATACAGAGACAATAAAATAGCTGATTAGTGGTTTGGTTAATGAGTAATGGAGTTGTTCAGCAGCAGTTAGCAGATCCTTTAGTCCTCACACAAGATGGTTTGAAGGGAAACTTGCAGACAGACACATTTCAGGATCCCACCTTCCTCCTACACCGAGCTCATCCTCTTTCAGCAGCCCACAGCCAGTGCTATCTGTTTTAAAGTTGGCTGTTTACACACACACACACACACACACACACACACACACACACACACACACACACACACACACACACACACACACACACACACACACACACACACACACACACACACACACACACACACACCGCTGCTGGGTGCGAGAAAACTCATAAATCTTACCATAAACGACAGGGGTAGCGTCCTGAATAATAAAAATAGAGGGAGTGGAAGTGTGTGTGTGTGTGTGTGTGCTATGAAAATATAGTAGGGAACATTTATAGTTTCATTTATAGGCTTTTCTCTTTCCCTCTGGGTTTTATGATCACTTTTGCTTCCTTTTTAAGTCACATTTTTCTGCTAATCTTGTTGCACCTTGCCCCTGTCTTCCTCGTATTTCCCTTTATAAAGACCTTGAAGTGCACTTTAAGTCATGCATATTCGTTTTACTCTTTAATGGAAATGTTACATTGTTACTTTCTGTACCTTAATGTCTGTCTCGCTCACTGTGACCTCCTTTTCTTGTTTATTTACCATATTTTGTGACTATGCAGCAGCAGGGGGAGACAAGGTGTTGACATATTGCGGGGGGGCGGTGGCACGGAATGAGCTGCAGGAGGGGCTCTGTAAATAAAATGGTCATTAAAAAAGTCTAATTTCCTGGCAAAGTGGAAAAAAGATCTTCTCCCACTGCCTGTAAACATGCCTCCACATGATATCAAATTAATTTGCCAAATTGCCACAAACAGTGACTCATAAGTGATTGGCCTACCTCCTAAAATAACAGTAAACATATCATCTATATGTCTGCACTCACTTAACTTATGTATCTGGCTCTTTAAATGAATATGATTACAGTGAAAAGTATATTTACATTTCCAGTGAAAGTCAAATTTACTGTTAGCCATTCGCTAAATAGAATTCATTACCATATTTTGATGCAAGCCTTCACAATGCCATCCATGTGAGAAATAGACAGTAAAGGCATCAGCTGTCAGCTTTAACCACTTTAGTTTGGCAAAAAAAACAACTTGATCTTAATTATATTCTGAGGTTTAGCTAGGCTACTTGTAAGAATGTGTATTTATTATTGGCCTATTTTGTTTTCTTAATGTTAAGAGGCATAGTTGGTAAGATTGAACTTTGTATAGACCTATCTATCAATTTTAATGACATGGTATAGCTGAGTTTAAACAACCCAAACCACGACCTCCTCAGCAAGAAGTCCTGCCAGCTCCTGATTGGAAATACAACTATGGCTGATATAGACCCAGTTTGTTGACTGGTTATGGAACAATTAGGATTTGAAAGGCTATCAATTAGTGTTGCCGTGAAAAGAAGCTCCATGCTTTATGCCTGGCTGCAGCCTGGTAGCCTATATTAGCATAATGTGAGAGTGACGCTCAGATGTTTGATGGGGGAATCAACGCGTCCGCGAGTCAAGCCCCGTTATTTCCTCCGTTACCCCCGTGAGCGTTACCCGGGCTGATTGTCAACAACATGATGAGAACACCTACTGGGAAACTAGCACCACCATTAGCCTACTCCTAGGCCGGCTGCAGACTGCCAGTGTGGTGTGGAATAACGGCTTCCAGAGACCGAGGCGAGAGCAGGCTACACACCGACGACAGAGAAGAAGACGCTGAGGCGGGAAGACGGAAAATAATAAAGGAGCTCGCGCACAACCCAAACATGCAATGGGTTGACATGTTGTGGTGGGGCTGCTGCTCACAGGCTGTGTGAGAGCTAAAAAAAGCGAGACATTTGAGGCCATTGTTAACAGCCAGCAGCGGTGCAGGCAGCGCTGGTGCTGGGGCGGGAGGGTGGAGGACGGTGGGGGGCGGGGGCGCGAGCTGGCAGCAGGCAGGCTCCCGGTAAGCCTGAGCAGCTCGTGCGCTAGCTTGCCTGCCTGTAGCCCTATTAGCTACACCGAGCCCCGTCTTTTAATTCGCCCCCCCCTCATCATTCACTTCTGGGTACCGTCGCTCTCTCTTATCCGACAGCCGTTCATGCCACACGGTCTCCGGCGCGAGCTTGGTCCGCCGCCGCTGTCAGCTCCAGGAGGTGTTGTGGTGCTCGCGCTAGTGTCGATACAGCAGCAGCGGAGAGAAGAAGAGAAGAAGAAGAGGAGAAAACGAAAGGGAACAAGCGGACTTGTTATTAATTCAGTATTTTATTATTTGTTATTGATTAACGTGCGTGAGGACTAATCTGTAATGCGGTGTTGCTGGGTCCGAGCCGGACTGGACCGGGACCGCCGGGGCTAGAAAAGGTAAGCAGCCTCACCGGCAGGCAGCAGGCCAACAAAGCAGAAACACGGAGTTAGTTCGCTGTGCACTTTGAGTGGCTGGCTCAGTGATTTATGGCCCGTATGACTTCAATCCCGGTTCAAGAAGAGTTCACAATGCTTTAAGCTGCCGCAAGCAGCCCCCCCTCTTCTATCGGCCTTCCAACTCTGTCCTTTTTCTTTCTGTGCCTCTCATTTCTCGCCTGCTCCTCACTTAGAGCTATTTATTTACATCATAGTTGCTGTTTTGGATGGACTACTTGTGCCTGGTATTTATAGGCTACCTATTTCTCTCCCACGGCCCTCCTTTTTTATTATTATACTATTTTAGATATTTTATTCCACACTTTGTGATGCTGTATTTGTATTCATATTCACTGTTTGTAGCAACAATAGCTCTGATGTGGCCAATCTTTTATTGTTTCTGGCCTCTCTCTCTCCCCCCTCCTCCCTCTCTCTGTGTCTGTTAATGGGATAAGGAATACGTGGATTGTCCAAGTTAATGCATTCTCTCTTTGAGCTTCTCATGGCAGGCGCCATTTGTAATTTTATATCCCAGGATAAAACACAGACACTGGACACCACAGGCTGACCTCTCCCTCCCTCTCCATCTCTCCCTCCTCTCTCTCTCTGTTGTTTTTGTTTGGGTGGCTGTTTCTCTGTCAGTGTAAGTGGATTATTCGGGGAGGCGTCTAGTAAAGTTGGTGATTGTAAGCTACAAGCAAGGGCCACAGACATTACGTGTCCCGTTTAATGGCAAAGCAGCGATATGATTTAATAACATATTCCTCCTACACTCAGTGCCACGGCCTCCCTCTCTCCCTCCTTGGGACTATTCCTCAGAGTAAATAATTAGGATTCCAGCTTGTCTCCCAGAAAGATAAATGGCTGACATGTGTGACGTGCTGAGAGCTAGAGTAGGGCTGGACTGTCTAATCACCAAAAAGAAGAATAGTGGGCTAATCTGCATTTTTTTAAACGAACGAACATATTTGCAAAGGCTAGTTTGCACAATTCCATCACAATAGGAAAACATTTGCACCTTAAATAATCCGGATTTCTATTTTTCGCATTAAAATAAATCAAAAACGGCATCTGTTTGATTAGCAAACGAAACATATGTTAACCTTACAATTAATTACATTTTAATGTTAATTAATTGGGTCAGCCTTGTAAATGTTACATTAAATGTTATTTATGAAATATTTCATATAGCCTAGGCCTCGTGCTCTGCTGTTTAAAAAAACATCAAAAATAGCACGAGCCATTTGCTACAAGTAGACAACTTTTAAAGTTATTTTTTAACGTAGGCCTATTTATTTTCAACGTAATGGTGTCACGTTATTTTCTTACACACTTCAGCTGGACACTTCACTGTAGTTTGGTGGCTACTAGCTTAATATCTGTTTTATCTGTAATTAGCTGAACACATTCGCCTGTTAGCTGTAGCTAGCACACAGCGGCTCAGTGAGTGTCAGATGGCAGAGCAGAGCCGCTTCTTCTTCTTCTTCTTCTTCTTCTACTTCTTCTTCTACTTCTTCTTCTTCTAAATGAATGCCAGGTGCTCTCTCTGCCTGACACCCGGCCACAGGCCCACCCCGGCGGTGAGGCAGATAGGGACCCTATGGGGGCTCACGGCTGGTTTTTTCTACTTCTCTTTTTCTCGGGGCCGTGATAGAGCACTCGACACTAATGAATCACTGACTCGTGAAGCTTCTTCCTGGCTCTCTGTCTTTCTGTCCTATCTGTCCATTGTTGGCCTGTTTTGTACCCAAGTCCAAGTGTTTATTTTTTTATTCTTGGAAGAGTCTAGGAATTATTGACCCCGATTCAACCTTCCTTTGCCTTTAAACAGTCCGAAATCCTTTATTCGTTTACATCTCAATAAGGCATTTGATGTAGCCTTTATTATTATAAATCACGTGCAATACTATGCGTTATTTCTACTCAAACATGATGCAGGAGTATGTTGTTATTGTGTTTCCGGAGACTCTGTGAGTGAGGTAACAGCCGAGCAGAAAACAGAAAACAGTAAATCATGTGTGGAAGGCAGAGGTTGACAGAAATAGGCTACCTACATCAGTCACAAAGGAAATATATACAGGCCACATAAACTGCCGCCATTACACAACGAAATGTCACGTTCAGCCTGAATAACAACAGACACGGTGGGGTATTGCTTTATTATAAAAACATACTTCTCACTGATATTAAATGATCGAATAATACACATTGATTAGGCTACTTATAGTTATGTTAAGTAGTGAACACGGTGTTATTCCATTTTTATTTTTAAATTGAAAGGTGAAGCACTGTCGTTATTCTTGGATTAAATGATGGAACCGAAAAATAATTAGTGATAGATAATAATAACAATAATAATGTATAAGTATACTTATACTTAACTATTAACCGGGATTCATAATATCATAACATGGGCAAATATGTTACTTGTAATTGCTACTTGTAATAATTATAATAATATTACAATTAGGATTATAATATCAATAATAGCAGTAATAATAATAATAAAGCTGCATCATTTGAAAAAATACATAAACAAAAACGAAATAATAATAATAACAATGGTATTAATAATAATAATAGTAATGATAATACCACATTTAAATAATACAACAAATAATAATAACATGTAATGTGTGCATCACTGTGAATAAATGATTGTGTGTGTGTGTGTTAAATCATGTGTGTGTGTGTGTGTGTATGTGTCTTTGTTAATGTGTGTGCGTGTGTGCCTCCTCCATCAGAGCATCTGCAGGCTGTGCACTGGGCTCAGAGGGGAGGGGGAGGGTAGAGGGGGGGTGAGGAAAGAAAAGCAGTGGTTTCTATTCATGTCATGGTGCCTTTCATGGCGGAAGATGGATTTATCTCTCTCATTTCTTCATTCTGCCTCTCCTTAACCTTTCAGGTCAGATTGCAGGAGACCGTTGGAGAGACACCGTCACGTGACCCCCGGTACCAAATGGTCTTCCGGCAGTGGCTCTCAACAAGGACCGGAGCACAAGACGCCACTTCTCTCAGAAATGCAGAAGACAACATACTACGACAACTCCTCTGCACTTTTCGGTGGCTACTCGTCCTACCAGGTGCAGGGGGCAGCGGCAGCCGGCAACGGCTTTGGGGGCTACGATGCACCGGTCCCAGTGTCCCACCACCAGCCGGCCTTCCAGTCAGCCCCCCATCTGGACGTGGATTCGTACCAGCGCTCTGCCTGCTCTTTACAGTCACTGGGCAGCAACAGCGGCCACCAGCAGCAGCTAGCCAAGACCAAGGAGCTGAATGGCAGCTGCATGCGGCCCAGTTTGCCACCTGAGCACCTCCCCGGCCCCCAGGTGTCCCCCCCATTGCCCCCCAACCCCAGCAGCAGTAATACTGGGGCTCAGCAGCCAGGGGGCAGTGCCGGGGCCTCCTCGCTCACTAAATCAGGCCCCAATAAGTCGTCTAATTCCTCTTCCTCCACGTCATCCTCCACGTCTTCCTCCTCCTCTTCGCTGCCCCCCAACCCGACCATGTCCAAGCAGATCTTTCCCTGGATGAAAGAGTGTCGACAGGCGACCAAGCAGAAAAACTGTTCGCCCAGCAACAACTCTGGCAACGGTGTGTGAGACCGCACCTGTCTCTGTCTCTCTGTCTGTCTTTGCTTTGATTTCCCCCCATAGCCTCACAGAAACCACATGCAGAATACTAATCCCCCCTACACCAAACTCTCTCTCCTCATCTCTCCCTTCCTCGGTTCCTTATGTCCTCCTTCTATTTCATTTTCCTTCCTCATTAGCGCCTCTTTCCTATTATCCTGCCTTCGCCTTCCAATCACCACATCCCTCTTTCCTCACCTCTCTTATCAACATCCTCTTTCAAGCCACAGATCCCCAAGGATTTAAAAAGGTTTCTCAGACTGTTATAGCAAAACAGGTTTCCACAGGCAACTGGTCATGTTGGTTATCAGTAGCTGGGGAGTGCGTCTGCTCTGATCCAAGGTCATCCTCAGCATCTAATACGGCTTTAAGGTGAACAAAAGTGACTGGTGAGCTGGATTCACTATAAAGATGTTTTCATCTCCTTGAGAAAGTGTGATAACATGGAAGCTGAAAAGCTTGAACCTAAAATTAAAATTCTGCTACACACTTTGTTATATAAGTCTTGATGACTCAAACATCAATAAAGTACCTGTCAAAACCCCGGAATATTGTGAGCAGTAAAATAGGCCAAAGGTCAGAGGCATGGCAGTCTGAAAAATATTCCTGCAAAAGAGGTGTGAGTATACAAGTGATCAGCAAGAGAATACAGTAAATATACACTATATATTCATTCATATTTCATTTTTTAGGAAGAGGACGGTTAGTTTATTTGAATGTATATGTTGTGTAGTCAAATCTTGCGTAGAAGGACCTAAAATAGTAGAACTGGATAAAGACACAATCAATGACAACTGATCAGTGCATCTTCCTTCATCATTTACCATCATCACCTCTTCTGCCTCCTTTCTTACACCCTCTGGTTATCACTTGCCTTCTGATTGCCCTCTCCTCTTCATCTCCTTTTGGCACCTTCTTGGTAATCCACAGATATTAACAGAGTGAATTTAAATGTCATGTACGATAACAGATGAATAGACTTTTTTCAGAGAGAGGAAGAATGACGTTTGCACGTTTGAAATTAAAGATATTAGCAATGGGGAGAAATACAGCATGATAAATATGAATATCTGATAACAGGAAAAGAAAACAGTCATTGAGGCAGACAGATCCGTTATTAGAATTGGTAGTTATCAATGAGAAAAGAATATGTTGTGCCATAATGAATATGAGTATTAAGAAAGCTTTCAGATGACTGGGAGGAGAGTTGGAAAGAGATTAGGCTGTTTATTAACGAGAATTTGATACAATCGTTTTGAGAATGTCCCCGCTCTGTGATGCCCCTTTCACACCAACACGGTTCCAGGGCCGGTTCGGAGCTAGAGCCTGATAAGCACCGGTTTTTCCTGTTCACACCGCAGCGGAGCCGGCTCTAAGCACCAACAAATTGTCGGTCTAGAAGCAAGAACCGCATACGTCACGCTTACGTCGGGGGAAGGGGCAGGGGCGGGATCAACCTGAGCAATAACAGTTTATGGCGAGTACAGCAAATAAAAGTTGTAACAAGCAGTAGCGCTGAGCAAAGTGACTAGAACGCCACACACACTTGTAAAAAAAACACACTTTATAAAGTCAGGCAACACTAACCAGGCTTCGTGTGATTCTGTTTATTTGTACCTTACTTTGACCATCCGTTCGCTGTTATTGATCATTGTGGAGAGCAGGCAGACGTTTTGTTTGTTATTATAGCAGCTATCGGATGGAATCAATACATGGGCTGCACAGGTTGTCATGTCCGACTATCACAAGTAGATTCATAATGAAAAATATGCCGGTAAAATGTGCCTGTAGAAAACGGCTTATGCCACAATAGGATAGCAACAAGTAGTCAAGATAGTCAGTTTAGCTTCAGTTGCTATGCTAACATCACCCATTTTATACCAGAGAAACTTTCATAACAGCGTTGTGATGCCAAACAGCGGGCAGCACTGCAGCGGTCGGTAAATGCAGCTGAAACACATTAATAAACAATGAACCACGGCACTCTGGAGAAAAGTATAAGGGATGAGAAGTAGTTATTTAATTTAATCTGGCTTCGTATGATTAAAAGCAACACGATGATCGACCCGACGTCGTTGGGGAGAAAATCAGCTACGTAAACGGTGACGTCATGACGCAGCAGCGGCAGCACCAGTCGGGCTCTGAGCGGTGTGAACAAAACGGGGGCTGAAAAGAAAAACCGGTTCCGAACCAGAAGAGCGCAAGAGGAGCTAGAGCGGGAACCGCGTTGGTGTGAAAGGGGCATGAGACAGATGAAGTGATGGTTACCTCCATAGAAATAAACACTAGTCAACTGATTTATAGAGAGATAGGATCTCAGTGCTGCTTTGAACTCTACTGCATCATCCTATTAGTACGAACACAGCGCAAGCATGCATAGCAACGTAATCATAACAGAGTTACTGTTGGGCATACTCTAAGAGACATTCAGCACTACTCTTTACTATAGATGAAACAGAAAGATGGAGAAAACCCAGCCAAGAGCTACAAAAGTATGTCTGATGCTGATTTAGGCTACAATAGCGGCTATTTGCTTCATCAGCAAACAAATCCTTCGTAGGAGTCGTATCGACACACTTCAGATTTGCTGGGTTCAAATGAATTACGGTTTTTGAAATGTATGCTCATGGCCATTGGTAAAATAAACATTGCAAATCTTATCACACCATGCTAGACAACTCTGAAACATGGTTTATGCTAGAATGGATTTGTTCTTCGATACACAACCCTGATTCTGCCTTTGAGCCGCTTATGCTCTTAATATGTGCTTCGTATTCGCTGCCCTTGCACAACATTACTGTGATAAGATTAGATATATTTCATTGATCTCAATTTGGGACCTTTTTATGAGATGGATGCCAGAGGCCCTTTAATTGTTGGCTGCAAATGTTTTAAATATTTACCAGGAGTGGGGTTTGAACCCACGAGGGCATATGCCCATTGGATCTTAAGTCCAACGCCTTAACCACTCGGCCATCCTGGTTGTTTATCAGACCATTTCCTGTGTGCAGAACTTTTGCTTCATATTAGCTCCCTCACATACACTTCCTATGCCCTTAGCATTCGCTTAACTTGTGCTTCCGATGCACTTACTATTCAACATGCCATTTTACTTCGTATGCGCTTAACATGCTAATATTGCGCTTCCACTATCTATACGCTGCACTTCCAATGTTCATCATTATGTTCTTTCTATGTGCTTCCTACCCTTTTACCAATAGGCTTTCCTAACCCTAACCATCTAGTGTACCAGTTACCGCTGCACACCAAATAAACAATATTTGCCTGTTTGTTAGGTATGCAATAGCTACAATTAATTTCATGGAAGTTATTATATTAAGGGGTTGGAGGATGTAGTTTGTGTTTTATTTGATTATACTTCAAGGCGTTTTATTTACTCTACCCTTATTGATATATTTGGGGTTGGAGATAATATTAGAAGCACCCCTCACAGCACCAAACTGCAGCCTCTGAAATAGCCGAGCAGTTGAATCAACAGCTCTCAGATTTCAACACAAACTGAACACCACACCCTTCAGGCAGGACTGTTGCATAACGTGAACCTTACTAACTAGCAACAGAGCGTAGATAATCTGGTTCAACAGGCAGCTTCTTCACAACCTGACTGATCAAACAGTGACGCTTGTTCCTATTTGTACTAATGTTGCTCCTTCCAAGAGCTCAGCAGTTGAACCTTTCCATTTTGTATACAGGCTTCTTGCAAACTTTTAAGATCTAAACTTTTTTTGTTAATTATTTAAGCCAACATTATTTTTCTATCTTTTCTTATTGTTAGAGTAAAAGGACATGTGTGAAAGGGGCTTAACAATCGTCAGGACAACCCGTCTGTTGTAAGGTGTACCATTTTCTGACTTGCTGCCAAATTATTTGAAGCACCTTGCAAACATTTCTTTTGAATAATTTCTTTGCGGAAATAATGAAAAGATTTTAGGACAACCATAGATTGTGACGGATAGCCAAATATAATCTAGTTGTATTCCTCTTAACACACAAAGTCATTATAGCAGCGGATTACTTTGATGTTAATGGACTCAATGGCCTTAATAACAACATCGTTTCCTTCTGAAAAGAATGTATACATTGGCATTTTGAAAACAAATGTACATGTATTTAGTGGTAACAGTTGAAGTGTATGAGCAAATCTCAATATTTGTCAGCTGTATTAGTAGTTAGTATAAGTATCACATACATGTGGTGAGAAGCGTGACTGTAGCTGCTGATGAAGTGAGTGCAGGTCTACATCAGCTCACAGTGTTCAGCTGCAGCTGCTGGTGCTGTGGGGGGTTTGTCTTTCCTGCCAAGATGCAATTTAGCTGCCCTCGGCCAGCACCGGGCCCTCCGTCTCTTAATAACTGCCACTGTTATGAAGTGTTGACAACTAATATCAGGGGATAATTCTGCCAGAGCCTGGACCCCCCTCTGCTTTATTAAGAAGCTGAATGCTTTCAATTTCCTCCAGCATGCAGCCTGAGTGGCTTTATTCTCTCTTCCTTCAGGCTCTTTTCATCTTCCCTTTACCTGTTTCTTACTATATCCTGCTTTTTGCACATTTCCACTCCTCTTTTGCACATTTCTCCCATTTCCATTTGCTTCATCTCCAAGGTCTTTGGTGCTCCCTTGTTTTTGTTTTTGCTTGTATCTTATCAATATCATTATGCCATTCTATATTGACTTGCCCTTTCTCTGTTTGACCCTTGTTCTTCTCTCCTCAGTATCAGGAGGAGCAGAGAGTGGCAGCAGTGGGGAGAAGAGTCCCACCAGCGGGTCTTCAGCCTCGTCTAAGCGGGCCCGTACGGCCTACACCAGCGCTCAGCTGGTGGAGCTGGAGAAGGAGTTCCACTTCAACCGGTACCTGTGCCGGCCGCGCCGCGTGGAGATGGCCAACCTGCTGAATCTGTCCGAGCGGCAGATCAAGATCTGGTTCCAGAACCGACGCATGAAATACAAGAAGGACCAGAAGTCCAAGGGCCTCAGCTCCAGTTCTGGAGGGCCCTCACCGGCTGGCTCCCCCCCCCTGACCATGCAGTCCTCCGCCAGCTTCCTCAACTCCATGCACCCTATGGGAGGGGGTGGGGCGGGCTACGACGTCCCATCTCCGCCATCCTTCGGCAAACCCCACCAGGGAGTGTCCTACTCCATGTCCACTGCCTACTCCAACGTCCCCATGAAGGGCTGCCCCCCCCAGCATAAGTACGGCTCCCCAGACCCGGACTACGGCGACCCCCACCCTCACCACGGCATGGCCAGTAACGCTGGCTACGGAACTCCCAACAACATGCAGGCCAGTCCAGTGTACGTGGGGGGGGGCAGCTATGTGGAACCCATGCCTGGCTCGGGGCCCTCCATGTACGGGCTAAACCACCTCGGCCCCACGCCACCCCACCACCAAAACATGGACTACAATGGTGCGGGGCCCATGTCGGGCGCCAACGGGCACCATGTGGGTGGAGGGGGCCCCCCGGGCCCCTGCGACCCGCCCCCCCACCAGACGTACACCGAGCTGTCGGCGCACCACACCTCGACTCAGGGCAGAATCCAGGAAGCACCCAAGCTCACTCACCTGTAGCAGGTTTGCAACAACACCACAACGTAGGAAGTAGTGAAGACGACAGACTAACAGACTAACTAACATGTGGGGACCTGCTGCTGCACGGGGATAGCAGGGGGGCCACAAGGAGACAGACAGGAGCCATCCAGTGGTTTGTCCTGTGCCCTACAGCCTCAGAGAGCCCCCCCCCCCCCCCCCCCCCCTGTTTACACTGCCTGACCAGTATTAGGGCTTTCACTGTTACTTTGAAAGTGCAGTTAACTGTAAACACAAAGGTAGTGCCTGTAAGAAGCCGCAGCCAGGGACAGAAAGGTTCCAAAAGAGACACTAAAATCACTGCAGTGTAGAATTAGTGGAATCAATGGTAGTGGCTAAAACACTTTATATTTCAAACGGGGACCAAACTTCCTATCCACTCCTGAAACATTACATTATCCGACAGGAAATTAGGAATGTTCATACGAAAGAGGATGAGTGCCACGTTGACAACATTTTTGAGATCTTAATTTATTATTTTAAGTGCTGAGATTAAAGACAGAATTCGGACCTTTCTCAGAACTAAGAATTCAACATTTTTTTCACATGTGGCCCTAATTTTCTTCCGTATGTTCAAGAATTAAAGCGAGCATTATCAGATGTACCCATGAATAATTTACACATTCAAACTGCCTAATATTGAAGTACTTTATCAGTGATTTTTCCATTAGAACTCTTGATTTTGTACCCATGTTTAAGCATCTCACATGAACCCTTTTTTAGAGCAGTTTACACTCCACTCTGTCCCAGGGCAGTGAGGCATATTGTAGGCGAGGTTTACAGTCAATTGTCTCCCACGTCCCCTGGGGACAATACATGTCAGGAAGCTCATCTTGTGGTAGTGTAGCAGAGACATATCGGCAGCTGTACAGCACAACAGGATTTATGGTGAGCACCATTGTTTAGTCAGTGTTAGACTGATCATCTGCACAGTCAATCAAAAAAACGAAATACTGAGTACTAGAGATTCAGAAATAAATATATTTGTCAGAAACCCCCAAAAAATCAAATATGAAAGAACATCTCTAAGTATGATGTGTTTGTGTGGGTGGGGCAAATTGCCGCCCAGCTGGCCTGCTGTTAGAGCTTGGAGTATGGGGTTTTAAATGTGTACTATGATAAGGAAATCTTCCCCCTAAGACACACACATATACAAACTCCCGGCTGCTAAATGAAATAGTTTTTAATGGGCAGTTAACGAGGTGGTTAGATTTATGGCGCCGGGCTCTCTCCCCCTCCAGGCTACACATGTTGTTGTCAGCCGGGCTGAGCTATGTGGAGAACCGTCCTCTCCATCAGCTGAGAGAGGGAGAGCACAAATATGTCTCCCTCGTCCCACAGAGCATAACAACCACTGGATGTTCTCCCCCTCTCCGTCTCGTTCTCCTCCTGCTGTCCCCGCCTCTCTCCGATCCACTACTAACACTCTCTCCTGTCTGTGGCAGCAGCACATGGCTTCTGAAGGAGGCTACACATCCCACAACCCGCCACAGACCCCCCCCCCCCCCCCCCCCACACACACACACACACACACACACACACACACACACACACACACACACACACACACACACACACACATCCATCCCCACACATGCACTCACCACCCCTCCCATCAATCTAACAGGGTTTAAGAAGCTACACAAGGCTAAAGTAGCTCCCATAGACACACTTCTGTGCTAAGCTATTTTAGCTAATCACACACACACACACACACACACACACACACACACACACACACACACACACACACACACACACACACACACACACACACACACACACACACACACACACACACACACACACAGCAACGCTAAGCTAGCTTCCTTTCGTTGCCACACACCCAGCGGGGTCACGCCAGCTGTTGACATCTTTGAACAAACACATGAGAGGACACGGAAGAGACATTTTTAATGTTCTTATTTTAGCACATCATCGACACAGGGTAAATAATAAGAGTGGAGAACAATATTTATTTATGTTTGGCTACGTCATTGTCCTCTGTCTGTCTCTCCATCTCTTTCTCTATCTCTCTCTTTCTATCACCTTATAATATTGTTTTGTTTTGTTCTCACATATCTTGACTTTTAACGTGGATACAGGGTATATATTTGAACAAAAATGCATGTCCCAGAAATCTGAGCTGATGTATTTCACACATATTTAAAACAACTGGGTTTATTTGTCAGTGAGGACAGTGGGGGAGAACACACACACATCACACATGAAAAGTGTGTGTGTTGGACCCCTATTTCACTCTCTGCTCTTCTAGAAATAAACCCTCTGTGTGGTTTTAAAGTGCAGATCTACACACATGCTTTCCACATCTGGGCATCATTGTTGCACTTAGAGTTGACATTTTGATGGTTAAAAGGTAAAAGATAATAATAATAAAATCTTATTTTCAAGACGGAAGGCCCTCCAATCAAAGCGTCTTTCGCCAATGTGTGTTCGAGTGAACATTCATATATAAATATTTATTTGTTATAGCCAGTTTAAAAAGACTTTCTGTTTTGTATTATTATTATTTATCCTTCATGTATTTATATCGAGAAAAAATACTGTACTTTTTTAGTATTTACCTGTTATGAAAGAAAAAAAAATGTTGTGTTTCTTCTTGTCCGATGTACTGAAGTTACATTTTTTAGTTCTTGTATTTTAGAAGAAGATAGGTAGTTTTTATGTTCCTAAAATGACCCTTGTACATACATGTCTTGGCTTGTACAGGGAGCAGGCTCGGTGGGGATTGGTGACTCATCCGAGCTTAGTCGGAAAAATGTAGACAAACTATTAGCTGGAAAAAAAGTCTTTTTGGAGAAAAACAACTTCTTTTTTGTCCTTTGTAGCTCCTTTTTCTTTCATTGTTGAGAGAGTTGTCTGTCGAGCAATTCTTTAATAAAATGTTACGTTATTCAGAGCTATCGTCAGTTTGTCTATGATTCTCAGGTGTGGTGGTAAATAACCATTCAAGAAATGAAAGGGCATTATTGCTTGGTTAGGCAGTGTTTCTGTCAGGAACACAATAAGAGCGATGCGTTGATGACCTGTTGGCCAAACAGGAAGTTAGCATCTCAAGGGCTCCCACAACCAAAAGATGGGACTTCCCCATCGGATTTCAGGGTATTGAAGAGAACATAAGCTCTGTGGCAAAGACACGTTTATGATACTTCTGAATACTACTAAAGCACCACATATTAACGCCACGTTATGATATTTTAAGGTTAAATGCAGTCGGCAGAAATAAAAAGCTAATGTAATGCTATAAACCACATGTGTCAAACTCAAGGCCCGGGGGCCAAATCAGGCCCTTGGTGGATTTAATTTCGGCCCGCAGGATAATTTTTAATTACAATTAGATCTGGCCCGCCGGTATATTGCACGCACACCTTCACTCCATCCTGAGGGTTTCCTCAGCTCAGAGCCTGAGCCCAAACATTGATGAACTTGCACCCAAGATGAGATGCCAAGTATCTGGCTTGAACTAGCATCACAGAGCAGCAAACTGAGTTTAATGGATGTTTCCTTCTGCACTTTTTCTCTCACGACAACAGGGCATGGTTTTTCTTTGAGAGAAATAGATTTGATAGAAAAATGTAATCATAAGAAATGACTCTGGAAAAGATGGATAGAGCCATAAGAAATTAATGCAACTGATTATTTAATGTTTAATGTTGTTTTTATAGGCAATCATTTAAGCTTTGTTAGTTCCAGGTTTAATATGTGCAATAAGTTCATTTCAATAAGTTATGCAATAAACATTGAACCAGTCCGGCCCTCGACTAGTACCGTTTTTTAAATTTTGGCCCACTGTGTATTTGAGTTGGACACCCCTGTTATAAACAAACTACAACACGGTCGCATGGGCGCACATCACCACGCTTAGCAAAAGGCGGCTAATGTTCGGCGTGATGGCGTTTATCTTATTTAGTCACTTATTAGCAACGGACATTTTTATGACACACTGAAGCTTTGTGCGTTCACCAGTGGGGTATTACCGACGTGTTTTATGCCGTAGAACAAGATGTTAAAATCTTGTTGTGTTAACCACAGACCTTGTAACCGAAAACACGTAAAAAAAGAAACATTGACTTCATAACGAAGTGGTAAAATGCTAACTCATTCCCGGGTGTAAGGACTCATTACTGCACAACTATTTTTGTGGCAAACATCATTATTAAATATGCTAATTATTGAACAGCGCTATCAGAACTCAAGTCAGGTTCTTTAGTGGTGCATATTATTACATGACCAATACAAAAAAACACTACCCTCGGAAATCAACCCTCTAAAGATCAGCTGGCCTCAGTGATAGAACATAATAAAGCCTTAATATGACTGCTATCTGTAGACTAACCCTTTTAAGGATAACAGTCAACATCAATATTTCACCTATAAATCTTTTAAACATTCAAATGACTTGCTTGCTTTTAGATGTTATATGATTTGTGTAGGCCATATTGGACCTCAAGTTAATGATGCATACCTTTTTGAGGGTAACATGGTATATGGTCCCAAGCAGAAAAAGGTACAATAGTTTTATAAATATTAAGGAACAATATACAAATACAGTGTGGGTGAGGCCAAGTTTCAAGCAAATGTTGACAAAATATACATTTCTTCAAATTGATATCAATGTTTTCCTATTTGCTTAAGATACATGCCAACCTGTGCACTGAAACAAACTGAAACATTGACTTTAATTAAATGTATTATGTCAACAAATTTCACATAACTGTATTAAGTTAGTTAAAAGCAATAATAATAAGTTGAACCTCATATTTTGTATTTAAACTTAATATTATTGCTTTCAACTAAACTAATACAGTTGTGTGAAATCTGTAGACATAATACATTCAATTAAAGTCAAGTTGGAGTTTTTTCAGTGAAGGTATATAGATAGGATAGAATATGTGTTTTCGGAGTGTATTTGATCAGATGATGTGGCTCAGTTTCATGTGCTTCCACGATGTGCTGTTGAGGATCTGGTGTCGTTGTTTCCAACAGCTTGTGTCTGCTGATGACCTGGCACTGATGCACGATTGAATATCAGATGGTACTGCAGGCTAAAGCATGGCAGCACTGTCAGAAAACATCTACAGCCTAGAGCGACATATAACATGTCAGAAGTACAAAAAAACGTCAACCTTTAGAAGAAATACAAATCTGCTTCTGGTCTCCTTTATGCTTTACAAAGTAGAAAGGAGAACACAAATTGTCAGATCATAGCGATTGTGCTACTGTAGCTATGGCCGGTGTTCATTTACCGTACTGATTAGTAACACCAAGATATAGCATCCAGAGAAGGTCTAAGGTCGGACCCAACAACTATTCCTGGACTGAAACCTAAAACCCGCTGTGGCTGGAGTCCTCTTCTTACTTTAGCTCTGTCGTGATTGGCTGATTCCTCCAAACTATCTTTACAGAAAAAGCTCAAACTCCGTCAGAACTATTCTTATACAGTTTAGTGACGAGTACTGTCAAGTATTGCATCTAAAGAATCATGTTTACCTCTCACAAATGCTGAAAAAAAACATTTAGGACTCAATTTCTCTATTCAAAACAAATACGCTTTCAGAAGAATGACTCTGATGATTTGAAATGATTCAATAGATATGTTTTCACAAAGGGACTGTTTAACGTTTTATTACTCAAGATTGTTAAGATGGGAATGTTGGAGATATGGGCCGTAGAGATATCGATGAAGAAAACAGTTCCAACATGAGATTGCTCACAACAAGCTCTGTGGAATGTTTTGAGTAACAGGGTCATGATTTCTGTTGAGAGATATGCTGTTGAGTTCTTCCAATGTATTTCTTTGTAAACAAGCAAAGTGCTAGTTCCAGTCATCTGGACAGAAGGCTGATACTGTATCTCTGTGGTTAATATGACAAACACATGGCAACTCACACCAGACTATCTGTTGACAGTTAGCACTATGACAAATACATACTGTTGAATTTGGGTTGAAACTGTCCCTTTACGTTAAGTTACCACTTCTGTGAAACATAACTGACTCAAAATGGGGCAAGAGTTTTGGCTGTGAGTGAGGCCTGAATGATGATCATTTGTTTCAGTTTTATTTTTAAGTAAGGCTACCTTTGAGACCAGCAGATGGTTTGAGTTTTGTATATATTATGCATATATGTTGGCAATTTCCTTGACATATTTCTAATGTCTTAGTCATTCACCCCAGCATCATGTTAACTATCTACTATTCTTATTTCCAAAAGGGGTTCTATCATTATTTTCTTGTGTGTAAGAGGTTTTTCTTTAACCACAGATATTATTTGAAGCTATTATTTGACTATTCAACTCCCCTGTTTGTCAATATTAAGCAATTACACCAATTTCATTCATCGACTTTTTTTTCTACTCTTATTCTTCATGAGAAATCTTATTTAGGAGACTCAAAATAAGTCACCGCCCCCCCCCCCCCCCCCCCCCCCCCCCCCCACCCCCCCCCCAAGTGTGGCCACATAACCAGAGTAAGGCCAGGGAGCACAAACAGATCAGACTCCTCTCTCCCAATGTTTTCACCCCATTCAACTTTTTGTTTCTGTGTCTTGTGTTGCTGTTTATGTCTAAAAAAAAGCCCTGACTACTCGGCCCGGTCACATGGTCTCTAACCCCCCCCCCCACATCTCTATCTCTTGAACGCGCTCGTGCTGAGGCCTGAGAGCAGCATAAAACTTGGGACATAAATCAGGCTCCCATAAATAATGGCCGTACTTCCCTTCACATCTCCGTTGGACTAACAGACAATAAAAACACCAATAAGCAGAGATTGGATCTAATTTATTGCCTCATAAAAGCAGACGCAGAGCTCAGCAGCTATTACTGCAGAACACACACTCCCAGCCAGGTTACAATGAAAAACTAATAAGGTCACACTCTTTAGGTGGATTAGACTACTTTAGGTAAATATACCTTTAAGGTGTATTTTGGAGCACACCTTATTTTTTAGCTCATAGGAACATATTACTTTAACTTTTTCACAAATGTCCTCTATTAAACACAAACGTACGTATTCAAATGTTTTGGAGTTCTTTGAAATAAATAATACCATCAATAATAGTAAGAACAATAACAGTAAAACTATTAGATCTTAAACTTTTTTCTTTGTCTTTTAATTTGTCTTTTTCATATTTATTACTATTATTTTGCAATTGTATTTACAATTTCTACCCGGAACTTGAACTAATTAAAAATATCAATAATTAATGTTACATTTTAAATTAGATAACAATTAAACTGGAATAGAAATACGTGTTTTACCCTCAGTATCTCCAAAACAAAAGAGCCCACTGATAAATAAAATAATGTAAAAACATATTCCAGCACACCATCACCCGGAAACAAAAAATCTGTTCTCCAACAAAACTTCCCATAAATTTTACAACAAAAAAAAAGGGTAAAAAAGTAAGAAATTGTATAATTAAAGCAGCTGCTGTGGTGTATTGTGGTGTTGGAGCTCGGTCAGCAGTGTGTGGTGTGTTCATGTCGCCTCGGCCTACTCACTGCTGCTTTCTGCTGCTCAATGACTTCACTCCCACTCACATTGCTGCTTCTGTTGCCTCTTTCTCAGAGTCAGAGGGCAAACCAAATGGCATGGGAAAAAGAGGAAAACGACTGTGTGAGCTAAATAACTTGTGCATTTTGTCTCTGGTTTATTTCTCAACAGATACATTATTTCTCCATGACATGCGTATTTTCTTTGCGGAAAAGCAGCGTAAAAATATGGAATACTGAATTTAAAATGGGAGAAATGGAGAGAGAGGTTTGCTTGTTATGTAGACACAGAGAGGGGCTGCTGTCAGCCTCTTTGCGGGGCCTGAAAGATTGATCACCGCACTTCTTTTCCCACTCGGGGCTCCTCGGGACCTCCCTAAAAACACGCTCCTCCAAACTCCCTGATCTTTATAAAAATCTACATGTGCGTCCTGTGGAGTCTGAATGCCCCTCAGCACACTCTCACTTAGTATTAGCGTTTACATTATTGCTGCTGCTGTATTATTATTTTTTGACTAAGAGGAACAGGAGGCCTGCCTCTTCCCCTCCTTCCATGCAGGAGCGACCTCGCTGTGAACTCTCTGTGCGTAAACACAGCGAACATTTTAACACTCATGCATCACACTGTGGAGAGAGTGCGAGAGAAGCTAGCAACACATTGGTAGTGTGCAGCAGAGGCTATTCAAGGTGGATTTTATTTAGACAACATAAAGGCTTACTATTTTACGCATACGCACACTTAGGGAAAGCCATTACATCACAAATACAAGAAGAGGTCTATTAAGAAATGTAAATGTTCACTTACACCAACAGGCTGCCTCCCTCCCCAGTTAAATCTAAATGTTTCTCTCCTAGAATCTGCAGAAATCTCCTCCATCCTCTCCTCCTGAGCTGCTGCGCCATCTAAAACCCTCCCAAACTTTCTAAACTGGGGATTTTCAGCCTCTGTCACACTTTATAAGATTAATGATCTGTGTGGTGTAAACAGTAGTTTTTTTTCTAAGGGAGCCATATTGTAAACGGTGGTGGCCAGCCTAATGTTAACAGTCATTACATCACCCAGAGGACCGAAATGTGTCCGAGGGATGCGCTATTGTTTGTGCGTAACGCGGGGCCGGGATGCGCCGACCCGCCGCCCACACAGCACACATGGCGACCGGCCGCCTTCACGTTTTTTCTCCCTGGACTTTACCCCCCGTGAGGACTAAACAATAGCAGCTATCCTGCGAAATAGCCTCTCTCTGCCACAGAAAATAATAATGCTGCTTCCCACAGCCATCACTGCCGTCAGGCCCGGGCTCCTGATTGGTTGTCTTCGGTCACGTGACCAGGAATTGGCTGCAATTTCGCCCCATAGATCTTCAGTTTAGCCTACCCAGGTCCCCATACGCTAGTAATATCACCAATATACAATTATTAAATAGCCACCGCATTTACGCCATTGCGGTCGGGACCCTTACACGCTCGTGGTTTTTTTTTTTCATTTATTTTTGTACAAAGCCATATTGTGTTGTGAGCGTGTGCGGGCGTGCTTGCATGTGTGTATGTTTTTTTTTATTTTGGGGAAGGGATTGTTTCGGGGGTCTCGCCGTTTGAGGTAGAAGCCGGTTTGAGGGAGCAATGAATTTTGAATTTGAGAGGGAGATCGGTTTTATAAACAGCCAGCCGTCCCTAGCAGAGTGCCTGACGTCCTTCCCCGCCGTCCTGGAGTCATTTCAAACTTCATCAATCAAGGACTCGACAGTAATTCCGCCTCCCTTTGAGCACACCATCCCCAGCCTCAGCCCCTGCACAGCCAGCCAGCCGAGACCGACTGCTAGGAGCCAGCAGAACCGGAGGACCTCCGTCACTAATGGCCTCCAGACGCAGCACCGAGCCGCCCAGCAGCCCTGCCCGCCCGGCCAGGCCCCTGCCCCGGCCACCGCCATCCTGGCCGGACCGCTGGCCCACGAGTTCCCCTGGATGAAGGAGAAGAAGTCATCCAAGAAGCCCCCCAAGCCTGGGAGCAGCTCCAGCGGTGGCATATCCATCATCCCCCCTGCCTCTTCCTCCCCGTCGCCGACCGCCTCCGGGTACGCTTCGGCGGGCATCGAGTCACCCACAGGTCGGTATGCTGGGAGCGGCTGTGTGTGTGTGTGTGATGGAGGGAGTGTGATATGCAGCTTGTGCTTTATTTTTGTGTTCATCTTCATTTCACATCCACTATATAACTTACCATTCATTACACACAGCAAGGATTTGGTTAGATGACATTGTCTTTTTCCAGTGTGTGCGTGTGTATTGTGCAGTGCTGTGATGCTGTGTCAACAGGGAAGCCACATCGACACCCCTGCATTATGCTGCAGTGCTTTGCTCTAGTCTGCATCATGCATGTACATATGCACCATTTAACGCGATGTTCAAAATATATTGGTCATGTTTAGCTTTCAGAATTAAGTTTTAAGAGTGCAAACCAGGCACACCTGCATAATTTTAATTATGCACCATCTAAAGCTTACACTTCCAATCGTTGTTCTGCTATACACTTCTTTATTGTGCGTAAAGACGTACAGAGGCGTTTTTTTTTAATCCATTCTGCAGATTCTGTTGTTTGGGTGCATGGTGGGGCTTCAGCAGCGTCGCCATGGCATTATATATTCATAACACAATTGAGGGGGTAGCCATATTGGATGGAGGTAGGGAATATAATGGCGAGGCAGAGCAACAGAATATGATGGGGTGGGGGTTGGGGGAGGTAGCATGCACACAGGATACAGACTGCACACAATCAGATTTTCTTGGGTTTAGGCCATTTCTGTCTTTTTCACTGCCCTCTATTGCAATCACTGTACTTTTTTTTCTCCACACACATAAAATCCCACCAGGTCTCGTGTTCCTTTCTCGCCCAATTTCCTGCATTTTCTGACTCATTCACAAAGCTATTCATGGTTTAAGTTATGTTTGGTGTCACATCGACATTCCTACATCTCCCTGTACATTTCCTCATGATTTATTTATTTTCCTCTCTTTCGATTCTCTGATCTCATACTGCAGCCTCTCACGCTCCAGACTTTACAGAAGAGAGAAACCAGTTTTACCATTATCATCTGTCTTTATCTGCCTTTTTACTATATTATTATTTTTTTACCATCAACAAATTGGTCCGCTCTAACAGTTATGGCTTTGGCTGCTACTGTAATCGGAAGGAGTATTTTTTTACGAGAGTGTTTGTGTTTTATTACTGTTTTATTACAGACAGAAGAGCCGAGGGGATTTCTGCTCGATGCTGAAGCAGCTTATTTCTTGGTTGGAAATCTCGCACGCAATAAAATTGCAGAGGTTTTACAGCTCTCATGAAATAGATTACAATTTGAAGTTTAAACGAACTATAAAATAAAAAAGGCAAAAGATTTTACACATAAATCCCCAATATTATTTTGCTCTCCTTTTATTTGTATTTGTCTCTGCAGACCCGAGCCATGCGGGTCTGGATGGTGGAGCCGGGTCCCGACGGCTGCGCACCGCCTACACCAACACCCAGCTGCTGGAACTGGAGAAGGAGTTCCACTTTAACAAGTACCTATGCCGGCCCAGGAGAGTGGAGATCGCCGCGCTGTTGGACCTGACCGAGCGGCAGGTGAAAGTTTGGTTCCAGAACCGGCGCATGAAACACAAGCGCCAGACTACGCACCACCGGGACGGAGGGGGGCATGAATCCAGCGACCCGGGCGGGTTTGAGCCGCTCGAAGGCGCCGATGCCTCCTCTCCGTACTCGAGCCAGCCGCTGGAAGCATCTGGCACCGGGGAGGCGACGTCGGACGGAGAGGCGGGGAGCTGCAATCCATCTTCGGCCGCCTACGCGAATGACAGCGGGGATAATACACAACCCACGCCGGAGGAGGGAGGCCGATTGAGCCGCCCTGAACGCCCACCGCTTCCAGGGGCATCTGGCTCCTCTGACTCCCCTCCTGCGCCTCAGAACTCCGCCGATATCCCGGGTCTGATGCAGCTCAGCGAGGCCGGGCCCGCAGGACCCGATCCGTCCTTCTCCGAGCAGCGGGACTCCTCTGCTCCTGCTGCCGCGTCCTCATCCACCTCCTCGCTCCCCGACCTCACCTTCTTCGCCGGGGACTCCTGCCTGTCTCCCAGCCTGCAGAGCTCCCTGGATAGCCCGGTGGATTTCTCCGAGGAGGACTTCGATTTATTCACAAGCACACTGTGCACCATAGATCTGCACAACCTCAACTTCTGAGAGAAATAAAGAAGACTAATAAAAGAGGAGGACGGGTGAACAATCGAGCGGAGGCGACGGCTGTTTAAAAAGCATTAAAGCTTCGAGGCAACATTCCTGAAACATTTCTGAATGAATTTATGTTCTTTTCAAAAATATTGGTTCGTCTTTTTGCTGGTGTTATTTTGCGGCTATAATATAGAGATAATTACATTTTTAAACATCGAAGGAACATTTTATTTTTTCACCATCGAAACGTTTTTTTTCTTGTCCATTCTTCAGGTAGCCTATTTATTGCCTCGTTTTTGTTCAAATGATTAGCCCTTTTCCGTTTGTGTGGATTTTTCCTCGTGCATTTTGGTGCAGCTTCATGGATTCTAGGCCTAAATAACTTCTCAGGAACTGTTCGATGCAGAAAGCTGGACTGCTTTTACACAATCTCAACTCCAGAGAAGCCCTGCTGATGACCCGAGTTTTAGACCCGTTTATTTATTGAGATTCTTTAATAGTGAAAATCAAAATTATTTATTGTACATATATTTTCATAGTGGAATAATAATAATAAAAACACACAAACATTTACGATGTCTTTGTTTTGGCTAAATGAATTAACGGAGTGCCTAATAACACCTAGCCTAATAATTGTGTGAAAATATACGGCATGCAGTAAATATATTTTTGTATGAAGTGAACGATAATAGTAGCTGCTTACAGTGAATTTTTTAATAGCCTATCGTAAATAACAAACAAAATGAGCATCAGTAGACCTATTATTATTTTTATGCTAAAGTTTATTGTTATTAGTTTTACAATATTTTGCCAAATTGGACATTTTGAATCTGTTTAAATAGCATAGCCTAGGCCTATATTTTGTTCCATAGAGGTAGCCTAGTTTTACACCAGGTTGTTCTTTTATTCTAATTGTTAAGATAAGGCTTAAGGCTATGTCATGAAATAGGTCTATTTGTTATTTTATTTTTTTGATCGTCTGATATCCTATTTTAATTTTGTGTCATGATGCTAGTTTCCAGTTTAAATGTTCCATCTTGTTTTCCCACCCTTTAGGCTACAACATAAATATATAGCCTGATATAGCCTGGCATGGCCCAGTATGGTTGTTTACACAGAGATAACCCTTAAGAGCGAGATATTTTCCAGAGCAGATAAAAAGAGGAGAAACAGTCCGAGGCCACAGCGGGGTAATTGTTTCCCTCCTTCACAGTTAGCTTAGCATTAATTTGGTAGCCCTCTGCCTCTGAGCTGGAGCCATATGGTTAGCATAGCATGGCCTAGCTTCCACCATGTCAGAGCAGCAGAGATGCTACAATATAGTCTTATACTGAGGAGGCCCAGAGCTAACATGAGCTAGCTACTTTAGTGAAGCTAACTGTAGCTTGTATTGCTAATTATCCTCCTCTATTAAGATAGAAGGGTAAATATAGAGCAAACCTTGAATTAGCATGGTTACCGTTAGAGAGATAGAGAGTGTATGTTTGTGTGTGTGTGTGTGTGTGTGTGTGTGTGTGTGTGTGTGTGTGTGTGTGTGTGTGTGTGTGTGTGTGTGTGTGTGTGTGTGTGTTGCTAACTAGCTGCTCCTCCCCCCACAGTCAAAATGGCGCTGAAGACAAAGCAGGATGTGAACAATGAGCAGTGGCAGCCATTACAGGATGACTGCTCAGTGTGACAGGCATGGTACTGTGCATTTGCATATAATAAGGATAAGAATAGTAATATATAATAATATTTGCATAGGCCTATGCATATTTTTCGATATATTTGTAGAATTCAAACATGTTTAGACTATATTAAATTGCCAAACATAAGCAGGCTGCAAAGTAAGAGAAAATAGGAACATGTGGGTTGATATTGGTAACACAACCAGTAAACAATGGTGTTATATTGCAATGACATTGTCAATAGTGATCTATTAATGAATGCCTTTGCATAACATAACACATGGGACTCTTGGTTTAATAAACCCTGCCTAATCGCCACTCCATCACCATGAGAAAAATTGAGGCCAATTACAATTAGATAAAGATTATAAAAATCCTTATCTGGGAGAGCCTTATTTAAACATGGTATAACTTAGTGTTTCCGTGGAATTCCTTAAAATGTGGCATATAAAATAATAAATCAGAACCCCACTCATATTCACTGATGCTTGCACTATGTTTTATCAATGCAATAACATAATGAAAACACATACAGAGACAAACTCACCTGATGCATTTGAGGACAGGTTTTAAATTGTGTCGATTTAAGTCCTAGGGAAACCAAAGGAAAAAATAAGATAACAATGACAATCACATTAAAATAGTTATAAAGCTATACTACCACAACGAGTAACGATAACAATAATAATATATAACTACTACAACAACAACAACAACAACAACAACAATAATATATTTAATATTTGAATGTTTAGGCACAATAACATAATCCTCATGTTGTGTAAGGGTTAGGGTTAGGGCATGTCCTGTAAGGGCATTACATGTAATCAATGCAGTGACATATTATGTGAATAGATTACAATATAATAGAATAAATGTTTTTGACCACCATGCACCATACCCCAGTATAGAATCATGGGAAACTCCACTGATCTATATAAGGCACGTCACCACTGTCAAAAAAACAGAGATACAATAAGATGAGCTAAAATGAGCTAAGCTAAGCTCAGTTGAGCTAAACTGGCTAAACCCAACTAAAATTGGCTACAACAAGCTGCTACTGGCTTCAGACGAGTTAATGAACCAAATAATTTTATTTCCTGAAATGTTCAACTTTTAATTAGCAAAAAATAGGTATCTATTGGGCTGGTAAACTGAAGACAGTCACATAAAAGAAATACAGTAAGTAATATTTAGCAAGTAACCAATCATGTCACATCTGATATGTTGCCCTGTGATTAGCTCTCAACATATTTTTCATTTGTGCATAATAAAATAAATTAAAATATAAATAACACAAGGTGAACCGCTCATTATGTCATTGTGCCTCAATGTCTGTTGCAAATCAAATGCAGTAATACCCATATTAAAATAACAAATATTGTATGGCCTTCAAAAAGCTTCATCAAGAGAAGTTGTGAAAGATCTTTTTTTTTTTGTAAACACAACTTAGGAGAGACTGCCAAGTGAAGCAGAGAAAAGCTGTTACTTATAACTGGGCCTCTGTACCTCATTGAAAACTGACCTTGTCTAAATGAACACTTTGATATTTGGCCAGATTCTTGAGAAACAGTCCTGGCCAATGAGAAAGGTCATCACTGCTTCCCCTCCAGCAAAGCTAATGTATAGCTTCAGCTATCAGCTCTAAAATCAAGTGGGCGTCCTCCAAAGGGACTTATCTCTGCATCATTTCTGTATCAACATTGTTTTTTGCAGAGCTAAAGGAATACTTGCCAGGACAAAAAACAGCAACGATTAACTTTGCACATATTCGATAGGATTATTATACCCCATTTATTTGTCAATTTCAGAATGCTAAAGCCTTTTACCTGCTTATGCTTAAAGGTTCAGTTGATAACTTTTAGTCATATTTACTCCTGATTTGCACACTTGCAATGCATCTAGGAAGAAAACAACCAATCAGAGCAGAGGTGACTGTGACACAGCAAACAGTTACAATAGAAAAATAAGAAAAACTTAAAAAAACTAAATCAAATCCTTTATACCAAAAAGGCCAGAGTTTGAAATTAAAAGTTTAGTTTAGTGCAAATGAACATGATCTTAAAACTATAATGACATACTTTGAAACATGTTTCTGAAAAGATTTGAGGTAATAAATAGGCAATGCAGTAACAGAATGTTCATATATATATGTGATCTTGCGCTGCCTAGTTTGAATGTTTGATTGACACTTCGTCATAGGCCCCTCGATTTTATTTTTTGGCAGTTAAATCTTTAAAATGCCATCAGGAGCACTATTGGAGGCAGAGGAAAAAAACAATCAGTCTAAAGCCAATCTGTCAAGATGTGGTAAAGATTGAACACATATTGTAAAAAGGTAATTTTTTATAATCAGTGCTAAGCTTTAAGTTTAGTGTAGAGTCACAGAAAATGTAAACAAGCATATTAATTATATATAAAGCTCATATTAGTTAACTAACTTCAAGCACGTGATGAGTGGGTTAGGAAGGACTTTAAGGAAATATAAACTATAATTAAAAAACAGCAAATATGGATGTAAAAAAACAACTTTATGTACATATAAAGCTTATATTGAACTTATTTTAAATAATGCCTGTTAACCAGACTGAATATATGGCATCCACTGCAACACACACTCTCCATCTGAGTGTATCCTAGACAAAGAGATTACAGCAGAGTACTATGCTGGGAGACATATCTCACCTTCTGAGTGCCTGTGTGTGTGTGTGCCTGTGTGTGTGTGTGTGTGTGTGTGTGTGTGTGTGTGTGTGTGTGTGTGTGTGTGTGTGTGTGTGTGTGTCAGTAATCTCTCTCTCTCCTGGCTGTCACCGCCTGTCGGCTTGCTGCCATGCCGTAATATGCGGACTGCTCCTTTATCTCCTGCATCACCGTCACCATCACTGTTATGATTTCTGCCTCTTTGGTGTGTGTGTGTGTGTGTGTGTGTGTGTGTGTGTGTGTGTGTGTGTGTGTGTTTGTGTGTGTGTGTGTGTGTGTGTGTGATATTGCATAACTCAGGCGTGACAGATCACCCACTTAGCAGCACTGGTGAAATATATGTGAGCGCTGGATTTTTATCATCCCGGGCGTCAAGAGGAAACTTTACCCTCACAAACACTGCTCGACTCACACACACATTAATGTTGCTGACACACGTCTCAACCTGGCAGACAAAGTGGAGGGATTATAAGGACGACTTCAAGGTAACTCTTGTACCTAGGTGCAAAACTGTTTCCAAAACGCAGCAGAAAGGCAAAGTATGGCTCCACTTTCACATAAAACAACACTGAAAAAACTGCAATGTTGACTTTAATTAAATGTATTATGTCAACAGATTTCAGGTTATTGTATTAGGTTTATTAGTTGAAAGCAATAGTATTACGTTTAAATATAAAGGTTCAACTTAATATTTTTGCTTTCAACTAACCTAATACTGAATTGATTGATATGAAACTATAATATGAACAATTTGCCACATTTTGAAACATGTATTTTCATTTACTATCAGCTTTTTGAAATGTACAAGTGTGCATTTGATTACTTATTTTAAGAAAAATCTTTATATGTGACTTCGTGACATTTATAATTTAAGAAATTGTGAAATCAATCAATGGATGACCAATATTCAAACCTGCATTACAATACCAGACAGATTTTTCTCAACCAGGCAAACCAAAAGTGTATTTTTGTTACAGCTTATGAATTGATCTGTGTGGTTTGCTTAATTGTACCTAATTGTAACGTTACATTACATCTAATTTGGACGCTGGTATCCAAAGTGACCCACAATAAGTACATTAAACCATGAAGATACAAGCTCAAAAAGCAAGAATCCTGCAGGTACATTCACTTTCAATAATCCAAACCATTTGAAGTGCTGTACGTAAGGAAGTGAGACTTTAGATTGAGATTTGCCAAAGTG